TTAGTTTGTTCCTCCATGAATCCACCGGAAAATTTTTCCCAAACTCAAGATGTTTTAACTCGCTTCATTAATTGAACACTGATAAAAATTAGTACCACAAAACATTCTCTAGGTGCTAAACTAATATTTCGAACGTTTTTGCAAGTTAAAGTTGATGGACTACTTTTTTGTTCAGGGTTTTACAACTTAGAAAATACAAAAAATCAGACTTGACCCAACAACGTTGCATACACTTTTTCGAGTCACTAGGGCTCCTAGGCACTAAAAAAATGTCACATGATTCAATTCTAAAGTTATCTATTTTTCCAACTATTTCAAAATTTTTGGTCAATTTTAGATCCGGAATGGATGTTTGCCAATATTTTCGGATTTTAGTCATAACTTATGTTTGGCACTGTTGAAAGAAACTTTTAATTTCTCTTCTTATGAAAAAAGATCGTGCTCCTGTACCGGAGAATTATCAATAAAATCGTTGATACAGACAAAAATTGACAATTTTTAAATCGCTCAATAACTTTTTAAACTATATTCGTTTTCATATTACTGTGCATGGAAGTAGCCGTTAAAAGGGATCATTTTAGGGTGGCAACCATGCGAAAATTCAAACAATTCTAACCTCAATCTTCCCTAAAAATTATTTTTTCAAATAAATGTGTACCCCAGGTAGCAAAAAAAAATTAAAATTAACAACGTAATTAACAAACTTAAAGATATTTGTCATTACTGATGTGTTTAAATTTATTCTCAATGACATTAATGACATTTTTTATGTGCCTTTAAATTAAAGATGCATTTAAACTTCTACAACCTTCTTGATGCACATCGCACAACGCACAAATAAAAAAGAATATAGGTACTCGGAATTTTTCGGGTTTGTTTGAATTTGTTAGAAAACATTTAACGTACGAGTGGTAATTGACAAAACATGTCTTCTGATTCCGGCTCTGTGAGAGGATTTGATCAAATAAATAAATTTGCTTTAAACCGATGTATTTTATATTTTTTTTTAGTTTTATCATAATTTCAGTATTTCCGTTTGCAAGTTGAAAAATTATTTTTTTCTCAATAATGTATGTGTGAAGTTGTTTATTTTGCGTGCGAATTGCGAAACTGTCTTTTTGTTTCGACCTTCAGTTACAGAAAAACGGTATAATTATATCCTCTCAAAACAGCCGTTTTTACACTTTTAATGGAAAAATATCTATTAAAATATCGATTTGAAACTTGTGCTATTTTATAGATTGTTGCACGTTGATTACGCAAATATTTGATTTTATACTGACAATTTTGATAATTTTGTAGTGATCGTCGCCTGAAAAAGTTAAAGCACAATTTTTTAAACTTTAAACATCTCACAAGAAAAATTTAGAGTTTGGATTTTTATGCAGTAAAAAATAAAAAAAAACCTTGTAATAAATGCTAATTGTTCTCTTATTTCTCTTTTATCAAATAAATTTTTACATTTTATTTTTGATTCAGAAAATCTGAAGTATTGAATAAAGAGGTTAGGTTAGAATTGAAGAAATCCGAACTTTTAATAACAATTCATACTCGAAACGTCGACTTGAAATAAAATTGTTATTAAAAATCCTCTTTATTCATCATGCCAAATCTGAAGTATTATTTTAATTGTGGTAATGGTCGGCATAAAAAAATGCTGCCTCCAACCATGTACCCCAGCGAGTGACTACGACTACAAGTTCAGTCTATTTGTTTAAAAAAAAAAATGAGTAAAGCTAAATTAGGAGAGAAAAAAAAATCTTGCAATTTTATTGTAATATCTATTATACAACACTCGCCTCCATCAGTGAAAAATCTAAATTGTAATCCTATTAGGTATAAATCAAGCAAGTTCTAATTTTAGAAGACCTTCCTTTTTAATTGTCATTTTCTAAAAGAATAATTAAAAAATCTGGCATAAATTTAAGCTAACAACTTCCACTGTCCTTGATTATGCAATTAATTCGAAATTCAAAAGTATCTTTTTAAAATGTTGACGATGATGCTATACATTAACCGTCGGCTTTTTTAATAACAATCTTAATGTGGTATAGTCTAAAACCTATCTTGACGTAAATCTAACAATTAGTGGCTCGCGTCTAATTATCCCTTCCAGCTTTCAGACTTAACGATTAGTGGCACACGCCATGATGAGCGCACACGTCACTAATTAGCAGAGAAATCCGCGTTATTTTTACTGTTCACGGCTGCTGACTTCAGATTGATGTGTGTGGGGAAAACAGTAAGTACTCGAGTTTGCAATGCTGAAGCGGCGTCTTCGCTCCAGCAATCCTCCCCTCGAGAAAGCTTTCGCAATTGTCCTTTCGGTTTGAGCGTAGGATTCCGTGGCTCTGAGATGACTTGTGCCAAGTATGAAAGTGATACTCTTGCGCAAAGATGAATAAATAACTCTTGTCAATTATTCAACAAACGATAACGTCTTTTGCGAAAGCTTCAGTTATTCTGCTATAAATTTCAATAAGCGACCGAATAAATTCGCGTCGATTTATAACCGTTTAGACAATAGATGCAGAGATGAAGTAAACAATCGCTTAAATCAAACCAGCACTAAAATTGACAATACCGGAAATTGTAACTCCGCCTTCTTGGCCATGTTATGACGTCAATCTCCCAGTGTCAGCGTTAACGCTCTATCATCCAAGCGAGGATAAATCCCAACTTGCTCAAAACTGGGTTAAGTGTTTGTTTTTATGGATAATTCAAACATTTTTCCGGTGAATATTTGGTAATGAGCAGAAAATTCCCCTAAAACTTGGTGCTGGAGAAAATTGCTTTGGAGAGGAAGCGTTTTTTTCCAGAACTTGGAGCTTCCAAAGTCCTGAATTAATTGCCAAGTGAGTGGTTCGTAGAACAAGCCCCGTTGGTTGCGATCACGTGCATTACGTGTTTGATATGTAAGTATTATGCCTGCTGATACAGTGATATAATATATTGTTAAAAAGTCATCGGCCCAAGTAAGTAACGGGTGCCGCCGACCGAGCCAAATATCGTACGGGTGGCTGAGTTCTTTATAGCTACTTTGCTAGATTTACTCAGCACGAGCCCCTCACCTCAAAGTAAACATCGACAACACAATAAGATGAGATATAGCTTCCTTATACTTAGTCTTCCGACAATAATGGATGAATTGCACCGACAAGACATAAAACTAATGCCACAGTGCCATTGTTGCTTTTATTAAATTCCTAAATCTATCCTCATTACGAGAGACCAGAGTTAAATGATCATTTTCTGTTTCATTACCTGTGAATGCAAGATAGATGCACAGTTGAAGCAACACCAACAATCAATTTTGCGATTGTGTTATAATAACGTAAATTTTGTACAGTTATGATAGAAAAAAAAAGAAAAAATAGGTTGGTCCTAATGCTACAACCGTAACTGATTGAACCATCAATCATGATTTTTAAAACAATGGGCAACGTTATTTAATAGAATCGGATTGCATAAGCACTTTTTTATAAGGACCAAAACGACATTATTTTCAATGAAGTAATAGCAGTTGTTATTACAACTTCAATTATTATTCAAAGAGGAATTATGTAATCCGAGACTTACAATAGGTCACTAATGCAATATCGGCGACAACATAATTCATGTCAAAACATGTTCTATAAAACAAAACCGTGCATCGGATTGTTAGTTTAATGACCTAAGTGTAACGAGATATCTTAATCTCGAAATCGAATAAATTATCTGGTGATGTTATCCTTTTTAGGAAAAATGCTTTCAAGGAGATAGCTGACAAATGACATGACCACATGTAGCAGTGTGAAAATACAGAATGTTTCTGATAAGATTTTTCAATCAATTGTTATGTTAAATTAAATTTCGCATTCAAGCAGAACAGCGTGAAGATATTTTGTCTACTTTTCTAGCATTGATTAAGCATCGATCCCAAACAATAGATGACAATAAACTGTGCAACTTTGTTCTAAGAAATATTATCATATCTTTAAAAATAATGGAGTTATGGTTTGGAACTTTTTTCATATTCCAGCTGTATAATCAATTAAAATAATTATTGCATAATTTGTTTATTAAAAAAAAATAATAATCTGAACAAAATTCAATAAATTTCTATAAAATTTAAAAACTTATTTATGTNTATTTTATTGTTCTCCAACATCTCTGTCAGAAAATAAAACTGCTAAATATTATCTACTTTCTTTTAATTACTACTCATAAAAAATAATATGTACCATAAAAGATTTAATTGAGAAACGTGTATTTATTTAAAACGCAACTTAAAAAAATCTAGAAGAGTGAGATGCTTTTGTTATAAAAGTTTAACCGAATTTGGAAAAAAGCAAAACGCAAGATTTTATCGATCAATTTATCACCAATTAATTTATCCAGTTTTTAGTTACCAAATACGTGAATATTTAGATGTTTTAAATGTCACCAACTTGTTAACAGAAAATTACTTTAAAACGATTATTATTTGTAAATTTAGTACGATTATCTGAAAACGTAAAACCAGTCAAACAACAAAATTAATATAATTTTTCATTATCTAATGAATCAGAGATCATATTTGTTGAAATAATTTTTGTTGGTGAAATTTAAGGTTGTGCCCTCTAAATTCAAATTTATTCGACAACTAAAACCCTGTGTTAGAAAAACACTTATGTTAATCTGAGATAAAAAAATAATTATGGGACTGATTTTCGTAATCAGAGGACTTTATTTGATGACAAATATTCATTTTGGTGACATGTAATGTTTATTCCTTTTAAAATAGGTAGGTCTAATAAAAAATGCTTCAGAAAGTTAAATTTTTAATACTAATACATTAGAACTGAATTGAAAATAAACTGTAATTCACAAAATCTTTAATTTCGACAATTTAAGATTTCCTTAAATATACTAAAAATTCAAATAAGATTAAAAGAATTTGATTTTGAATTCAGAAATCATATGTTTTTTAGTTATTTATCTATTGATTTATTTATACAGAGTGATTTAAGTGTGTCGAACCATCTCTTGGGTGGTGATAAAGGACATCCAACTGAGTTAAAAGTTCCTAGAAAAAATTTGTTTGAGCTTTTTTCCACAGATTAGTTTTTGGCCGTTAAGATAATGTTTTCTTGAGTTTAGTTAGCGAAAACGGCAGATCTTGCGACATAGATCAGAGACCTGTTGAAAAAAATCATCCATTTGTGTTTTATAGTGTATAAAACATAACAAACTAACAAATTCAACAATAAATTAAATCCTACAACACTAGAAACAAAAGAGCTAAAATACTTACGTGGTAATATTGAAATTGACAGTTTGGTTTTTTCTCAAAAAAGGCTTGAAAAACATCTGAATTCATTTTTATGCTTCTAACAGTCTTCTGAGTTGGTCTGACACTTTTGAATTCCTCTGTACTTTCCTTCTTCATTGGCATCAGTCATAAAAAAAATAGGGACTGCGACTATTCTCATCTGCTTTAAAAAAATATGTTAAATTAAACAATAAATTTAATTTAATGAAGTTTTAGCAAAAATATTTTCATTTTTTATTCGTAAAAACATTGTTTAATTGATCCAAGAAATATCTTTACGAGTCATAAAAATCCTATGACTTAACCAAATTTAATTTTTTGCTATATCCTTGTTACTATCCTTAAAAACAATGATTCAACAAGTTTGTTAGGAATTATTAGACCACAAGGCGAAAAGTTCGCCGAATTAACATGAATGTACTCTATTAAACTTTTTGTCAATCATGTATCAATCATCACCAAAAGTGATTTTTGTGATGACTCACCCTAAAATTTACCCGGAATAAAAAAAACAAAATTAAATGCGTCAATACACCCCGTTGTATAAACAATTTGGTAGAGTTTTCACGATTGCATAATACCGACATAAATAATCTCAGAGGGAAGCAATCTTCGTGAAATTTAATGGCGGCCACAAATTAGCCCGACCAATTATGAAAGTGTAGTGCACTCGGGAGCCATCGTTATTAAAACCATAGAACCCACAAGTGCCGTATAGAGAGAGGTTTATAAACTCTTCGTGGTCCCGGAGGTGTGTGTAACCACCGGCACGAGCAGCCTCCGGAACCGTAGACCACGCATATCCTGCAGCACGTGCTCGTCGTACCTCTCCGGAATACGTTGGCACGCTTTCGTCTCTTTCCTCCTCACTGAGACTCCATAAGAACCTCCCATTCGCGTCTTCATTAATGACTACATCCACCTCTCATTATGTTTATTCGAACAATAATGTTAGATTTGAGTCATTCATTCTGTTAGACTTGTGCCAAGCTGAATTTATGAATCGGACCGACGACGTTCCTTCCTAATTACTTTCTGGGAATTTGATCATCAATGGAAATTTATTTAAACAGAAAAAACGAAATTAATTGGACGCGATTCGGGTTAGCTCATTTATTCACGACGCCGGAAATAGGAATTATTCCTTTAATAATGTTGTCAGTGAACAAATTTACAATTAACAAAAATTGAGATTTTATTGCTTTAAAGACACGACGTGCTGACAAGGTTAAAAAATTATACATAAACCACCGTCTTCCGGTCATTGTTTTAAGGGTTTTTTGTAGATTTGTTGCATTTACATAGATTAAAATCGCGGCTTTTTTTGGAGTTTTGTGTAAAGTGGAAATTAAAAGCTGACGTTGTACCTATTCGTAATATAAATTAAGTTGACTACTAAACCTTGGATTATCATTTTTTTAAATAGCAATTTACAGATACTTTCCTCCTAACTACTGGATATTAATTATTTTACAGTAGTCGAGGAAAATAGACATAGGATATATACTTTATTCGTAAATGCCATCGAAGAATCGTTCAAATTAGTATAATATCGGTGGTAACGGTCTGTTATTATCATTCAAATCGACTCCAGTTGATTCTTAAACGTTTTATTGCATTGCTACCGAGCAACTTGTTGATTTTTTGCCTATAATTCGTTCTTGAATCTTTTGAAATTGATTTAAAATCCTTTTCGTCTGAGATTCATATTATTTCTTTTAAAACTAAAACTGGCAATTATAAAAAACATTTTGTTGTTTAAGTTGTCAATTTTAATATTATATTTATTAGTAAGATGTAGAACTTCTTTTTGTTTTAAAATGTTAAGGATTTCAAAAATTTAAACACAAATTTTGGCAGAGTTATATTGAATTCTCTAGTTTTAATAAGACAACAAATCAATTTTTGTTTTAAAAAATGTGCACTTAGTACATCTGTACGCTAGCCCATTGATGTGTAGGAGTATAGAATTATTTAACATTCACATAGGTGAACCGACTCGTGTAAAATATAAGAAATTTTAGATTTAAATTTTCATTTTTTGGGGTTCAGCCCTGCTTGGTTAAAAATTAATTTCTAACATAAGTTTGCCTTAGGAATTAAAAAAAAAAACTATTTTTTTGTAGAATAAACAAATAGTTATTAAGAAAAGTTTATTATTTTTGTTAGTGTCACTGAATGCAAACATGTTTATTTAATTTTAAATAAAAATTTGAAACAAATAGAATCGTGTATTATTTACATTCTTTACCACCCCTTCTTTTATTAACGCAGAGATTTTTTTATAGATGAATAATATCCCCCCAGCTTTTTAGTCAATTTGTTGTCCTGTCTTTAAAAATATTTATAACGAAGAAAGAAATAAACATTTTATAGCTTATATCGATTTCGAATAGTACGAAATTAATGTTTGATAAAAATTATTTTATAAGGATCATATCGTCATGAGCTTTTGAAAGCACACAAAGCTCTCCATTGTCTTTTTAGCTTCACTGACTTTTTTATCAATATTTTTGTTATCAATTAAACACTAAAACCGAAACAAAACAAGAAAAACTTCTTTTACAGTAATTTTTGTTAAATTTGAATAGTTGAAATTCTGAAACTGACAATATTTTTTGTACTGTTATGGATTCTCTGAGTAGAATAGAATTAGAAAATACAAAAATGTTGGTTTTAATTTTGATGCACGCATCAACCCCTTCGTTATGGCTTATTTTATTTTACTTATTACTTTTTAAACTTGAAACAAAAAAAAAATTCTTAAAAAAATTGAAACCAAAAAATGTGTTTCTGGTTGTTGATGTGTCAAAGTCAAGGTCTGGGCACCCATCAGCTGATTTGGGAAAAGAGCGTGGAAGTGAGGAAATACAGAAGGAAGCGGTGTTGAAGTTCCGTTTCGCGTATGGAAGCACTCGGGTGGTTCTTAGCGTGAAGCAGCTCGGGTAGGTCAGGGTCGAGGGTAGTTCGGATCACCGGCCATCCGAGGCGTGTGAACTACTGGTGTGAGCTAACAGTTTAGTGTGTGGTCACTGTAGAGCGATCAAGGGTGCTGGCCCATCCTCCTCCACGGCCGTCACTATCGGTGCTATCGGTGTGTAAAAATCAACACTTGCTGTCATTATCTGATCCACTGATCAGACGGTTTTCATTTCGGGATTGTTACACTGATTTAGTTTTGCTTTTAGTTTTCAAGCCAGTGACAATCAAAACTTTCCCTTAAAATTCCCACCCTCTGCTACACCAATAATCAATCTGTGATTATTGATCAAATGAATCAATTCGTGACAAATTGCATACAATATCTGTATTTGGAAAGTTTCAGTTTTGCAGCGAGGATAACTAGTTCTTAAATAGATTCATGTATTTATGGCTAGAATTCCAGCTGCTCGGCATGTACATGCTATAATTGTTTTTACACATGCATGTACTTATATCTACATCATCTGTATCACTTCCGTCACGATAACCACATTGGTATAAGTCAGTCAGTTCATAAAGACGGCCGAGGAATAGCCGGAACTAAACTCAAATAGCTCTCCTTACCATTATGGGCTACTATAAAGCCACTTTCTGAGCTGCAAGTCGTTAAACGCCCACGACTTGATACAAGAAGTTCATCACTGGAGATGAATGAAATTTTCTTTTCTCCGCCAAGAGAATGGCGCCAATTATCACCTTAATGCAATTTGTTTTAATAAGAAGAAAGTAGTATTATAAGAAAATTAAGGCATAATCAAAATGTGTACATACTGTAAAAAAATTACAAAAAATTTTGTTTTTCTATTTCGGGTTCACAATGAGCATTTTGTGTAACTGAAAACAGTTGCATAAAATGCAACTTTGTGACACTGTTTTTTGGCGACATTTTATGCAATACTTTGGCCATTAGTGGCCAAAGCCACTAGTGACTGTCGTTTTTAAGAAAGAAATTGTTGCAGTTCAACGTATTTCACCGAAACTAGTGCATTTTAAGCTATTTTTGACCAATTTGGGTACCGCATATACTCGTTTTCATATTAATGTGCATCGAAGTAGTCGTTGAAAGAGACCATTTTAAGGGGGCAACCATGCAAAAATTCAAACAATTCTAACCTTAATCTTACCTAAAAAAATATTTTTTCAAATAAATGTGTACCCCAGGTAGCAAAAATAATTAAAAATTAACAATGTAATTAACATAGGGTAGCAAACATAAAAAATTTTGGCATTATTAATGTGATTAGATTTGTTCTGGAAGACATTAATGGCACTTTTTGTTTGAACCGGTCTTTAAATTAAAGATGCATTTAGACTTCGACAACCTACTTGATGCACATTAATATGAAAAAGAGTAAATGTCAAAGATAAGTAAATTCAATTTAAAAAGCGCTCAATAGAAAAAATAGTATAAAAATAATGAAAAAGCCTTGTTGATTAAGAATGGCGTCTTTACAAAACTTATGACAAAATAATACACATTAAAACTTTTTAAATTTATTTCTTTACAAAAATTATATTTACAAATTTTAGCAAATTAAAAGTTCAAACTCCTACAAATCGTAAAAATAAAAAAAAAATAAAACCCTTTTCCATTGTTCTTCTTCTTGGATCTTCTTGGTATGGAAACGATGAACAAAAACACGATAAGCCCGTCACACCAAACTTTTATTTAAAAACACAACGCGTTTCAACCACAAAGTGGTCATCCTCAGGTGAGAATAAAACTTTTCCACTGAGTAAAATAATTACTTTTTTTTGAAAATTGATCAAATAACTCTAGAAAACTAGTTTTTTTGGAAGACAAATTTAACGAAAATCAAGTTAAAGTGTTTCTTATAAAGTAGGTACCTAGTTTTCAAATTTGGCAGATTTGTAATGTTTTAGAGTGTCATTTGGAAAAAAATTCGAGAGAATACGTCAACAATCAGTACCCGGAGCGCTCCGGAATCAACATCTTATGTAAAATGATTTACAGAATCCGAAATAACCTATAATAAGGTTTACTTTAAAAAGTAATAAGTACAAAATGTATAAAATATAAAGCGTTTTTTTTTTAAAGAAAACATGTTTGTATTAGGTATACTTTATTCTTGAAAGAGTGTCGATATTTGACAATAATTTTAAGTGATGTAGTGGGTTAGTTACAATATTAATGATTTCTTTATAAAAGCGCACAGGGTGCGCTAGGACTCGCGCCCCAGAGAAAAAATGTAAGATAAGATACTAGGAACATGGAAAAAATGTTTAAAAAAAACTTTCGAAGTTATGAGAGTTTAAATTTTGCACTTTGACTCTATTTATTTCTGTTGGAAAAATTGTTTTCCAAGTTTTTACAATAGCTACAGGCTATTAGAAGAGGAGGAAACAAGGAAGCTGTATCCTAAACTGTAACTTTGTTTAATGTTATTTGTGGTTTTTATTTGGAATTTTTTTGTTCCTTTACTAAATAATTATAAAAAACATATACAAAATCATTAGTATAATTAAATAGACATAAAAAATTTCAAATGTCAAAAAATAAATGTCAAAAGATAGAATTTTTTAAACATTTTTTCCATCTTTCTGGTATCTTATCTTACTTGAATTTTTTTCTCTGGAGCGCGAGTTCTGACGCACCTGTATATATTTTAACATTTGGTATAAGTTTAAAAGACGTTGTAAGCCGGACATATTTAAAAAATCCCGGGACTCC